AGACTTGGTCCCCAGCCCACAGTCCGGTCACCTTGCCTGGCTCCCCCACCTCCTCTGTCTGGGCTCAGCCACCCCAGGAGGACCTGCTCCCCAGCGTGTAGCCGCCAGGAGCGACCCCAGCACACCTGAACAGCCCCTCCAGCGCTGTTGGTCCAAGTCCCAGCTGTCTGGGCCCTTCTGCCTGCAGGGAGGGCAGTGGGTCAGCTGGCACTGGGGGCTGCCCGCGGCTGGGGGCTGCCCACGGCTTCAGCCCTGCTAGTTCTCCGGACCAGTTTCCTGTGTGTGAGTCAGGACTAAGGATGGATTCCAGGGCCCCGGGAGGTCAGCAGGTGGCCTAGGGCTTGAGTCTCGCGCTACCACCACGATGGCCTGAGTTCGATCCCCGGCCCGGGAGTGACCCCCAGAGCACAGACCCCTCCTGTGTCCCTGCTGCTCCCCTCAGCCGTATATTTCTGTCTCTGGTGAATCCTCTCACCCCCTGCACCTCGGGCCTGTACCCCAGTTCCTCTATATAAAAACAAATTAAATCTCTAAAATAACAAACAGGATGGATCCACCCCAGAGGGTAGAGACCGTGAAGCTGGCAAGCTGGCCCCGGTGCTCTCTGGGCGAGGCCGCCCGGGCCCAGGCTCGGGGCACGGTGCCGTGTCCACTATGTGACAGCCTTGTCCACTGTGGCTGCACAGAGCCGGTCCCAGCAACAGCCAGGGGTGGCGTGAGCTCTCCTCGCCCGCTCCAGGGGGCCCCGGGGTGGTGTCCTGGCCGCAGGGCCCTGACCTGGGCCGGAGCTCCACATGCAGCCACACTCGAGAAAGTCAGAGCGGCTGGTGAACTTGACTCTGATGTTTCCCTCAACCCGAGGCATCGCAAGCGTCTCTCCCAAGCAGCCGTCACAGCGACCTTCACGAGAGTTTGTGCTTCCTCCCACCGTGTCCCGGAAGCCGGCCCCCCGTGCACACGCACACACCCCCGTCTGCACCAAGCACAGCTCCGGGGTGGTGTCAGGAGTGGGGTGATGTGGGCGAGGTGATTCTGGGCCCCTGGACTCCCGGCTCGGGGCTGACGCAGGGCGCCGGCCACCTGTCTGTTCACTGGGCGGCCAGACGCTCCATCAGCGGTCACCCCCACTCCCGTCGCTGTCCCCAGACGCGCAGGGTGGCCAGACACCTGCCTCAGGCCTGTCCACGGGCCCAGGTATGCCCAACCTTCCTCACCCCTCAGGGCTGAGCACCCCCACCCCCAGCGCGGGACTCCCTGCCCCTCCCTCCCGCCAAGATGACACCCAACCTGACGCCCTGGGGAACAGTCAGCACCCCAAGACCCCCGGCTGTCCCTGCCTGCAGGACAAGGGACTTGTCCCCTCTTGGCCACGTACAGAGATGAAAACTGGGGAGCACAGGGCATGTCTGGAGGGGACAGCCCGTGAGCCCGTGGTCGCCCGCCCGAGTGATGTACTCAAGGTCCGCCCAGATCCCAGGCTCCATCCCAGGCGATGCCTCCTTTTGGGGTAAGGCTGTCTCAGCGGGTGCAGTGGAATGTCTGGAATGCACAGCCCTCACACCTCTCCTGCAGGCCCGCCCTCCCCAGCCAGGAGGCTGCCCCGCCCACCTGCCCGCCTGCCAGGCCTCTGAGGTGCCAGTGACCCCAGACCGAACGTTGGCACCTGCCACAAACGCTCAGCAGGCACCAGATGGGGCCCGATGAGCAGCCAGCCCAAGACCACCACGGGGGGGGGGGGGGGGTTGGGGGGGTCGTGAGCTGGGGTCTCACGCCGGGAGGGCGCAGCCTCCGAGTCAGTGGGGGCTTCTCCTAACCCAGTCCTCAGGCCATGAACTTGGGCTGTATTCCCTGGGGCTCCTGTGACCTTGACTGGGGTCTTGCACAGGCTGGGCCCCGGCAAGGAGACACTGACTGGAGGGTGTGCCAGTCGGCCACAGCGCCCAGCTCCCCGTTTCCCACATGAAGACAACTGAGGCTCAGAGGGGCTAAGGAGCCTGTCCTTGGTCACACAGCTGGGCAGCGGCAGGGCCGGGTTTGACCCCACACAGCAGGCCAGAGTCGCCTCCTCAGAACAAGGGGACATCGCTACCCAACCACAACGTGACCAGGAGACATCGGGGGCCAGGCGCCGGGGCCAGGGCGCACCCCGGGGAGGCACGGTGCTGTATATCTCGTTGGCATCTCTGCTGGGACCATTAATCCCAGGGCAGGGTGTCACCAGTGGGGTGACTGGGGCTGAGTCATCACGCTGGCAGTCACCGTGAGGACTCGCAGACTGTCCTGATGAGCCGGCCTCTGGCAGGCAGCAAACACCCGGGGCAGCGCCTTTGGGGGTGCCCAACACCTGCTCCCTCCGCCCTGGCCACTGTCCCACACCCACCACAGACAGGCTGGCCTCGGGGTGGGGCAGGGCAACCGGTCAGGACAGGGCGAGTGTCCATCCGGGACCGCTGCCACCCAGACGCCTTCCTGGGTTCCAGCATTTTTAGGGAGTCAGTGAATTGCTGAATCCGTTTCACCTCCACCCCCGCCACCTGGTCATCTCTCTGCCCCTCTTGCTGGCCCGGGGCAGGCCTAGAGACAGGAGTTGTCCGTGTGCTATACGCCTGTTCACTGAGCCCCACGCCTACGCAAGGCCTGGGCTCAAGGGCGACAGGAGGGCCCCCCAAAAGATGAGTAAGTTTGTTGTCCCAAAGTTTATAGCCCCGTGGGCAGGACTAAGGGAAGCGCCCAGCCACTGTAATCACGAAGACCGGCCGTCTGGGTTGGGGGTTTCACCCTCGGCCCACTCGGCCTTGCAGCCGGGGAAGCTGCAGCCATGACCGCTTGCAGTGACGCTCGGCTGGTAAGCGTCAGCCCGCCAGCACACGGCCGCTCACCCGGCGGGCGGGCGGGCAGCGCTGAGCCTGCGTCCCCGAGGGCGAGCCCCGGGCGGCATCGCACGGCCACGACGCCGGAGCCACGCTAGGCCACGCGCCGACATGCGGCTGCACTGAGACGCGCCGGGGTCCTCCGGCCAGGCCCGGCTCGTCAAGCGCCTCCTCTGGGCAGCCAGGGCCCGGCCCGGCCCGGGTGCGGCCACGGCGTGGGGGCGGCCGAGGGCCCCACACCTCGAGGCAGGAAGTCCCGGGAGGATCAGCACACCGGAAGCACCCCGGGAATACCGGACGGACGGCCGTGACTGATACTCTCTGCCAGAAACTTCCCCGTAATTAGAGTCAGTTCCTCCACACCCAGCCATTAACCGGGGAAGTGAGCCCTCTGAGGGAGGCCCCGTTCATGACCTCAGAGTTTCACCCCAAGGCCACCCACCCCCAGGCCCGGTCAGGCCTGTGCGTTCAGGCTCGGGCTGCAGACACACCCCACGCAGCGGGAGGATCCCCAGGTGCCCGGGGCGGGTCTGGAGACCGGGCTGGACCAGATGGGTGCCCGGGGCGCCAAGGCCAGGTCGGGTCCAGCCAGGACAGGGAGCAGCCTCTGCTGAAGCCCTGCACAGGCCAGAGGCGTCCACCCGTCCTGTCCACCCCCAACCCTGGCCACGGGGCCCGGCCCCGGGGGCTCACAAGTGACCGCCCGCCCAGCAGTCTATGCCCTGCCTCCATGAGGCCTCCACTCCAGCGACCAGACACAAAGCCCAGCGAGGGGCAGGAATGCGGCCAGGAGCCCGGCGACAGCCGCGCTGGGCAGGGCCACAGCGGGCCTGGAGGGGTCCGCCTAGGCTCCAGCCCTACCTGCCGAGTCCTCCGTCCCCGCCGAGGGCCTCAGTTCTCCTGCTCATCTTCTGCTGGGCAGGGGTCAGTCCCTCAGCTGGGCAGCAGGACAGGACCTTGGGCCCTGGAGGCGCAGGCTGGCCGCCCTCCCTCCACTTCCATCTGCAACCGAAACGCCCATGTCCGGGACAGACAGCCAAGGCCCAGAGGGTCTGCGTGCGAGCGGGGGCAGCGGCGGGCGGCCAGGGCTCTGCGGTGGGTCTCCCGGCTTGGCGGGCCGCGGGTTTCTCATGCACGATCTGATAAAACCCCTCTGCCGGCAGGGGGGCGCTGGGGGGCCGCCCCCGGCCGGTCCCCTGCTCCTGGCTCAGGGGACCAGGGCAGAGCAGCTGGGAGCCCTGCGTGTGGGCTGAACCTGAGCCCAGGAGAGAGGTGGGCGCTGCCCGAGAAAGGATGGGCGCAGGTGGGCTCGCCCTGCCCCTCCCGCCTCCCCGCCTCTCTCCTCCTGTCCCTCCGGAAGCTTCCTGCTGGCTGCCCACCCCTGCTCCTGGCCTTGTGCCCAGCCCTGCCGCGCCCCCAGCCTGGGCTCAGAGGTGGGACCTGGGGTCCTCACCGGGGCAGCCCCCCACCTCCCTCAGACACGCAGAGGGCAAACTGTCGCCCCTGCAACTCCAGCACGGTCCCAGTGCACAGCTGCTCCAGGCTTTATTTAGAGAGAAGGACAGGTAGAGACCCACAAACAAGCAGTGACCTCTGCGCCCCTGGGGGAGCCGGCGGGGGCTGGGCCGGGGCTGCCCTTGTGTCTTCAGCGGCTTCTGTCTACACCTGGTGAACATCGAGGCGGGTGCCCAAGAGGCCCTGCGCGGGGCTCCAGCCTGGCTCCGGGGCCGGGCGCTGCCGAGGCCTCACCGTACCCCACCGCGCCGCCTGGCTCTGTGGGTGCGTCCCCTCGGGGCCCCCAGGATGTCCTGGGGTTCGGTCTGTGGCCTCTCGGCCCTTTGACAGAGGGCTGTCTCTTTCCTTTGTTCGCTTTTTAAAATTGAGGTTACCCTGGCTTAGGACAACACGGGTATAAGCCACAGGCGCAGGGCCACCCCCACACCCCCCGCTGTCCTGAGCCCTCCTCTCACCCCCCACACCCCAGCCTCAGTTCCGCAGTCAGGGGTTGGGGTTTGCTACTGGTTTGGACTCTCTGAACTTTTGGCTGCCCCCGGCCCCCTGAATACCCCTAAACCCCACCGTCTCGGCCTCTGCTCCGTCCCGGCTGGCCTGTCCCTCCTGCGGCTGCCCAGAGGCGCCCGCCGGGGCCGCCGAGCTCTCCAGGACGCCTAAGCCAGCTTGGAACTGCCACCACCGGCACGCGAGGGCGGGGGTCGGCCGGACTGCGGGGGGCTCCCTTCCCTCTCGGGGAGACAGACGCTGCCCTCTCGCCCCGCGGGGGGGGGCGCGGTGAGTGGACACACGGTGTGACCCCTGGGACATTTAAGGGAGGAGTCTCGCAGCCTCCAGCAGGCCGTAGCTGGCCACCTCATTCATCCAGCAGTCTGGGGGGGTGGACATCTGGCCAGGCAGGGTCAAAAGGCCCTGGAGATAAGAGGGACAAAGGACCAAAAGGAGGGGCCAGGGACAGCTTGGGGGAGGAAGGGGGCGGGGCAGCCTGGAGGGGCGAAGCGTCCAGAGGAGGAACAGCAGGCAGGGGCGGGAGGCTGGCACACAGGGGCAGGGGCAGGGGCAGGTTTGTGCCAGGTGCCCCTGGCTGGAAGGGGCCGCAGAGCAGGGCTGCAGGAGGCCCCAGGAGGCTGCTGCTTTGCAGGCAACAGGGCACTGGGCAGCGGGCTGGGGAGCAAAGTGCGGGGCCCCCCAGAGGCAGGAACCGGGGCTCCCTCACCCTGGGCAAGAGGCTGTGACCAGAGACCCCACCACAAGCAGGGAGGACAGAGGCCATTTCCTGCTTCCAGCTCCCAAGCCCGGGGAGCCTGCTGCTGGCAGGGGGTCCCCCCCTCCCCGCTTGGAGCGCCTGGGGCAGCTGTCCTAGACCTGGGGCCAGGTACCCCGCCCTCCTTGCCCAAGTGACCTGAGCTAGGCCCCGCTGCCCCCGCAAGGCTGCGATGCCACAGCAGCCACTCAGCCAGGCCTGGGCACCTCGCTCTGCAGCTCTGCTCCCTCTGCCGAGCGGAGGGCTGGCCAGTGGGGGCGGAGGGGCGGGGGGGCCGGGTGGCAGGCCAAGGACTCCACCCCGCAGGCCCCCGGGCAGCCGGAGGCTGCCAACCCGCCAGGTGGGGCGGGCCCAGGTCCTCCCCAGGGCCCGAGACCCTAACTGGCCACCTGGGGGGGTGCGGGGGAGCTGTCTTTACTCGTGGCCTCAGTGTCCCCCAGTGCCGGCCTGGCAGCACAGGCGGGCCCGGGCCCGCGCCGGGCACACAGCGGGCGCCTGGGAAACAGCGGGCCGACCACTCAGGTCCATGTCCGACTGGCGGTGGAGGTGGTCCTGCGAACAGGGCCCTCTGGGGCGGGGTGTCTGCAGGCTCTGCAGGGGCGGGGTCACCTCCGTGCCAGGGAGAAAGATCAGAGCCAGCTGGCCTCCTGCCCCCAGGGCCGCAGGCCGGACAGGCCAGACCTGCGCAGAGTCCCTCTCCCCTGGCGACCAGGTGGTCGCTGTGATCCGCCCTAACCCTGCGTGTTGCCCCTCGGGCCGCC